AGGTTCCTACTTTATCTGCAGTAAACCAATGTTCTTGGGTTACTTTTGGTGACAAGCTGCTTAGCTTTTTTCACTACCTGTTGAGCAACTGGTACTCAGTCATGAAGTAGCCCGTCACGTCCCTACTGGAATTACTTCTGGTGACAACCATCACAATAGACTAGAACCTTCAGGTGTAACAGAAAATGTTTCAAGGTTTAAAATGGTATAAAAAAGAAAGTTCAGCAGAAGCTTCATCAGGACTAAGGCTGGTTTGTAAGTACTGCTTCTTGGACAAAGGTGACTTATTCTTGTAAAAAGATGAAAGGATGATAACCCATCAAATTATCATTAATGTGACCCTTATAATTACCAAAGAAAGTCACAGAAGACTCAAATATGTACGTCGACAAAGACCAACTCCTCACATGCCAGGAGAAGACTGCTAACATAAATCTTCAAAAGAATCAGCATTAACTGAAATATTAGCTTCAGAAATAACTAGAATTTCACAATTCATCACACACAAAAACACTGCAAGCTGTAAACAAGGAAATTTAGATTTTATTGGAAAAGTAGAGCTAATATAAGACCTCCTGATGTATACTCTGCAATGACTAAAATATATTTTCAGAATTTTGGGTAACATGTTTGTTGCCAGCATGAGAGCAAACTTGTGAGGGAAAAACTTACAGTATTTGATCATAAACTTTGTTATTGTTTTGATTTGAAAAACACCACACACAGTTTTACTGAGTCTACAATCACTGTCACAGAATAAAAATAAGTTTTTAACATATCAAAATTATAAGCAAATCAACTTTTTTTTAAACTGTTAATCAGATTTCTTTTGATACATTTAGTAAGTTTTAAATTCATTTTATGTTCAGTTATATACATATATATATATGTGTATTTCTTTTCATTTGTATTTCATTTGATTTTCCCATTCATGCGGTTACTAATATAAAGATGTCCTAAACAAACAGTGAGTTTTGACAAAACAAAAGTTGATACAGTCAAGTGCAAAATGATGTAACTAAACTTACCTTACCCGTTCCATGAAAATGTTTTCTTTTGCAGTATTATAATTCAAATGAAATATAAAATGATAAAGAAAGTCTTTTGTAAGCTTTAAAAAGATCAGAACTAATTGTGGTAGAAGTTGCTCATAAACATCCTTTCTTCTACCAACATACAACAAGGCTAAGGTATAATTAATTTGTTCCAATATCTATGTAAGTATTCAATTGTGGTTGGCTTATAAAGTTGATATAACAAAAAAAAAGCTTTCGTTAAGTATACACCTGGAAAAAAGTTAAGCACCCCCAAATATTTTTTTCAAGTGATTCAGATTCGACGTTCTTGTGACTGATTA